TGCTGTTGTTGATGCGTTATACTCACGACCTCTGACCTCTCTGGGTTCAGTCTGTCAGTGAAACCAGCTGACTGGAACTATACAAAGCTGCCACAGACCGTGTGGGGACTTGTTTCTAATCCATAAACGATACATTTCAAAAGCAGCAGCAGAGCAGTCCTCCAACCACCGCAGTTTGTAACTAACGCCCCCTGTTGGTCACTGACCAATCAGAGCACATCATTAAGGAGCTCAGTTGGCCTCTGTAACCACACTTCTCTCTTCCTAAGTTTTCCAGTGGAGATAAAGTTGTTGTTTTTTTTAAACTACTGACTGTCCCCTCGTTCCTGAAGGTCACTGACGATGTTCAGACCTGGATGCCAGAGGGGAGGACAGAGTAAGGATCCATAATCCATTTCCTGTTTTAACAGCTGTTTTGACCAGAAACTAAGAAACTGTGGCTGCACAGAAACCTACAGCTTCAACTTTGATACTTGAAACAGAAACAAGAAATCATGATTGAAAATGTAAAAAACTTTCTCAGATTCATGGTCAATCAGAGATAAGAAGGACGACATATTCTGCTCTGTACAAATGTTTCTCCACTATTCCCGTTCTGCATGTATTCCTCATCAGGAGCAGCTGCATCAGTGTTTTAATAGGAGCTGAGATGCTGTCTCTCATGAGTGCATGTTTCTCTAAATGACTCCTGGAGAATAAAACGACTCTGAGGGGCTGAAACGTGAGAGAGACTCCAGAATTAGTAAAGCCACCTTTTCTCGCACGCGCTCAGTCTGCAGCTCCACAGCACAGAGCTCCTGTCTCCAGGTAGCTCAATCGTAACCAACTCACCTGCAGCGACCTGAGGGCGGAGTACAGGGCGGGAGAGGGAGCAGCTCCACGGGCATCCACCAACACCGTCAGCCCCGACGCTAGCACCTCCTTCCTGTTCCATGAAAGAAGTGATATCAGAGGGTGGACAGCACAGAGACCGGAGTAACAACAGTAACAGAGGAGTGTACCTGAGGGTGGAGGTGTAGTAAAGGAGGAGGCGGGGCAGCTCAGTGCTGTCACAGTCCAGGTGGGACCACACGGGGCTCGTGGTGGAGACGGTAAGCAGCGCTCGCCCACCTTTGTCTCTGGTTCCTGCAGGAAGATGCAGCAACTTCATTTACAGACAGAAACAGTGACTCCAACTCTGAAGTTCAGTCTCTGCTCCACCTGCCCAACTTTATAAACCTCAGGCTGGAGCTTCTGACTGCCCTGATCTTAGTCTAGTCGGGTCTGAGTCTGAGGCCTGAAACTGGTTGGTACATGACGTTTGTGTTTTCTCACCAGGCAGACAAACAGCTCCAGACCTCAGCAGCATACTGTACAGTCTGGACTGGGAGGACTGGGTGACAGGCTGGACTACCCT